ATTAGAGGCTTCCCATCCATCAGGCTTTTCCTCCAGCTGCCCTGGAAAACCTTGCCCAACTCTCGGCGCTTCAGCAGGCACCAGAGACCAAGTCGTACCCGACTGAAGCATACACACTCAGACCTTTCACTGCATTCACCTTCGATGATATATTGGTATCAGTAATAGATGCAGCCCTGCAACTGCTTGCTCACATCAATGCTGGCGGAAGGGCCTCATTTCTAACTGCTTTTTGCGTTTAGTGTGCTCTCATTACCACGCACCTCCTATTAGCATGGTTAGCTACGTACGGTACGAAACACGTTCAACATACATATACTAGCGGGAACTCGAGAGAGCACTGCTCGAGGGTGTTTGGCCAACTCTGTCACTGATCAAACATATGGGAAGTGGTGGGAGTACCCACCCACGTGTATCCCGTCACATGCGACATGGCAATTGAATCACTGTAACATTGAGGTATCACAGATGAGTGCTTTACAAGCAACGGACACATATATATACATATGGGGATCCACGTTGAATTATGCAACAAAGAAATTATGTTAGCATGCACCTATTATGGCTCACAAGGAGGAATGTAGTCAACACCGTGTATGGTAATTTCTAAGCTAATATTTAAACACTGCATTAGGTGCTAATTTAAGGCTGCCACTGCTGTTGTGCATGGTCAGGAATTAAAGCCAGTTGACTGCTATTGTAGCAAAGTTTATAAAGCACTGCAGAGCACTGCTCCCCACATAAAGAGGTAGAAAACTTACAAACGTGTATGTGTGTTAACTGAGACAAGTATATTACGAGGATTGTTTAACATTCTCAATATGTCTGGCCCGATTGCTCTGATGCTTACGACACTAACATTATACACTTCTGCGCAATTGAGAATCGCATGGGGATTTAGAGTTTTTTTTAGTGCACACTCATGCCCCGTTAGGCTGTATCGAGTGCTGGGATGTGTTAATTGATCGGTGCATTAGCGTTAATCCTTAAGCTGTGTCGTGCCCGGGACATTGAGGGAGCCTATGTTGAAAACGGTGTTGCCCAGGCAGACATTTTGGAATCGGTATCTAGTCTGTTTATCAGGGCTGTATATATTAACTTTTACAAAACTTAATGAGAAATTTATCAAATGTTTTATCAAATGTCACGGAACGAAATTACATCTCTGTCACATTTAGCATCTACGCCATCATCATCATCATCGGTCGCTTGCCGCTTGCTGTAGCACAGCGGCCCCCACGAGATGCCGCCAGGCGAGATGTTATGCAGGAGTCCGTGGGTTCGATCCCGACCCTGACGTCTGCTGTATATTTTGAATTTGCATGTTCTCCAGTTTTTCCTGTTTTTCCCCTACACGTTGAGAATCGACGTGCGTTAAAAGAGTATTTGGCTGCTATAAATTACCACGTGATCATAAGCCACTTCGTTGCGCTATCATTTGTGGCCAGGTCACTTCTGAAAAATAGCTATATAGCTCAGTGGGCCTTACCTAACAAAATAAAAAAAACATGTTTATCCATAAGATGATTTAGGGTTAGATCGTGTAAATATAAATATGCCTCCTAACCCAAAAACCTCGAACATGGATAATATTAGTGGCGAAAGCCTACGTGTTAAACGAAAAAAAATATTTTAGTTTCGTGAGTATAGTTAGATCCTATCCCACCACGTCGAGTACAGTCCACGAGCGTGGCATTTGACGTCAGCCTCAACGATGCCACGCGTCCACGACAACCGTGCCCGGGCATCCCGTACGTGCGTCAGGACGTCGCTCGCCACTGTTTGTAAACGATGAATGCGAATGCTGTAGAGTTGTCAGATAACCTAATGGGAGCATTATCAGGTTGTTTTTTGTTATTAAATTATACTAATGTTCATTCCATAATGAAAATCGTACAATGGCGTGGGGATTTTTATTGTCTTGTTTACACTAGAAATTGTGAGCTATTTTGCAGAATTTTACATGAAACTGTTAGTCTCAATGGAATTTGGAAAAGTTGAGGTGAAATGTAATAATGTGTTTGAAGAGTGTAATGTCTGTGCTGCTGTAGGGGTCAGTGTTGGAAACCGCTGGAATGTGAATACCTGTGTACGGATGTTGAGGATGGCAGTAACTTCATTGCAGGATACAGTGAGAAATTGGTCATTCAGAACAGAGGTTAGCAGGGAAGTGTTTTAGGTGTGGTCAGAGGTCAGTAGCCAAGGGGAAAACCTCAAGCCAGACGATGGTGAAGAGAGGGCAAAAGTGACCGATAGAGGTCAGCTGTAGACTTTACAACTAGAGGATCCAGCATGAGCGCAGTGATGGCAAGGGGTGGTAGCGTTAATGGCAAAGGCCACGGATCTCTTGGCTTTCAGGTAATCGCTGGTGATGAACCTCACAGTGGCGAGATGTTAACTACCTCGCCTGGTATTCATGAGGCCACGGTTTCGATCTCGACCCTGACGCCTGCTGTATATTTGGAGTTTTCACGTCTCTCTCTCTCCCCGTGGTTGCGTGGATTTTTCTCCGGGTCCTCCGGTTTTTCCCTCCAAATTAAGAAACATGTTTTGAATTAAAGCTTTCGTGACTGCAGTGATTAATATTCTTGGTTCTTTCGGTAAAGTCACGTTGTTTCCCTTCAACGTGACTTTACCGAAAGAACCAAGAATAAGAAACGTGTTTAGAGTATTTGGCTGCTATAAATTTCCACATTATAAACCACTTTGTTGAGCTATAATTTATGGCCAGGTCCCTTCTGAAAAAGAGCTATATAGCTCACTGGGCCTTACCTGGTAAAATACATTTTAAAAGTTGAGTTAATTTAGTTTAGGCCAGCGCAACATATGACAGACTGTTGTGATCAGTGCCATGAATTTCTGCTTTTGCCCCTTCAATATAATGCAATTACGGATATTATTTTACGTTTAAGGTGGTTGAGATTATAGTATCCTCCGAGGCTGTGAATCCCAACCAGGTATTACACATGGATCTCAAGGGAATGTAGACTCACCTGATCACCAACACTTCCCCACACATACGCGATTTATACTTTGCAATTTCACGCAAGCAAGAGCGTCAAGAGTAAAAACAATGAGACAACAATTTGATTGAATGACAGGGAGATTAAATGACCCCTGACAAAAGTTTGAAATGTGAAAAAGGGAAGGGAACGCGTGCATTATTAACGACGCGGGCTTAACGCTGTCAATTTCAGGGATGGGGGATCGAGCTGATCACTTGAAACACAACACAAACCATTATGGTGAAAAATCCCCCCACCCCCCAGGAGAGGAGGATTATGCGAGCGCAATTTTACACTGTGGAAACTTCGCAGTTGTGTTTCCTGCCACGGCCGGATAGCCTGTGGGATCACGTACGAAGGCGCTTGCACCGTGCGCGCGCGTTCAGTCGTCAGATTCGGTGATGATAATTTGACACTGCGTGGTGGCACGCACGTGCAATCCAAGGACTGAATAGGCTGGGGTTGGTGGATTATATGGGGATCGTCGCATGTGCCATCAGAGACACTCCTCCCAGTGCATCTACGGGTGGCCAAGCAGTGCATTGATTTAAAGCGAAATCGTTAGGTCTTTAAATGTTCTCCACTTGCATGTGGGTTTTCTCCAGTTTCTTACATTTTATTTCCCACTATCTTCTCCACTTTCCTGCCGTACTGCCAAATACTTAACAAAGGAAATGGCCAAACACTGCAAGTAGAACTCTCTCGCAACAGTGTATTGGAGACTCAATGAGGTTTTCACGGGTGAAAAAATATGCATTGACAGAATCGGTGGCGGTAGTCGTACGAGGCTGCGATTTAATTGTAGGGTTTTAAATTAACGGGAATACAAATCAATACTCAATTGTCGCAATGAAGTCATTAACAATAATTAGAATTGTAATTAAAATGTTAATTTGTACGTGCAACCGTGTGGAATCTGTGTTATTTTTCACCGATTTTGTAGGGCCCTAGGTGGAGATACTAGACACTCTAAATTCACGTGTAGCACCGGCAACCACCAACCTCAAACAAAATGTCACGAGTTAAAATCCCAATCGAGAATCGACTCAGCTTAACGCCCGAGTCACGAAAGTGAGAGAGCCACCTTCGTTCAGATGTCAAGAGTGGCTGTCCTGTGGATAGACTGGACCCTGTCATGTGAATGTGCAATTTACCCCGCACTGCCCGAAAAAGGGCTGCCCCTGGACGGGAGCAGCGGCGAGTCAACGTGTCACGCTGGTTAGGGAAGGCTGCACGCACATCGGCCCGAGAATAACATGAAACGCTTCACATCTTGCCCAAAGCATCTAACCCCCCCCCCCCCCCTCTCTTATGCTGTGCCTCATGCTGCAGAGGACAGCCCCAACTCACTCACCCCCAACTCACCCACCCACAACTCACTCACCCACAACTCACCCACCCACCCCCAACTCACCCACCCACCCACAACTCACTCACCCACAACTCACCCACCCACCCACCCACAACTCACCCACCCCCCACCCACAACTCACCCACCCCCAACTCACCCACCCACAACTCACTCACCCACAACTGACCCACCCACCCACCCGCAACTCACCCACCCACCCGCAACTCACCCACCCGCAACTCACCCACCCACAAATCACCCGCAACTCACCCACCCACCCGCAACTCACCCACCCACCCACAACTCACCCACCCCCAACTCACCCACCCACCCCCTACACACCCACCTCCAACTCCCCCACCCATCCACAACTCACCCACCCACACCCCCCCCCCCCACCCACAACTCCCCCACCCACTCACAACCCCCCCACCCACCCACAACTCCCCCACCCACTCACAACTCCCCCACCCACCCACAACTCCCCCACCCACTCACAACTCCCCCACCCACCCACCCACAACTCCCCCACCCACTCGCTGCTCAGCCATTGGAGGGGCTGCCCCGAGACTGACGGGCAACGGCGGCCAATCGCCCGCCTGGGGAGGGCAGCGAGCGGGCTCCGTCTAAAAAGACGGCGGGGATCTCTCAGCACAAACAAACCGGGGAGGGAGGGGGGGGGAGTCAATAGAGAGGTAACGACGGCAAGGAGACGGCAGAGATAAAGGAAGCAGGGGGACAGGGGAGAAGGAGAGAGAGAGACAAAAGCGCAGTTTTGAGTCGCACAGCCGAGGCCATTCGACTCGCAGAAAAATGTTTTCTCGATAGCGCGAGCGCGATCTCTCAGTGACAAGTCGCCTGCCTCCAGGCTACGGGGGGGGGGGGGGTTTCAACAACGCCGCCGAATATATAAAAATGCATATCTGATAAGAAACCAGGGAGAACTGCTGCCAACGATAACAAGAGAGAGAAAATTGTCACCGGGACTTCTTTTTTTTTAAAACCAACGTTTATGCGCGACAGCGGGTTGTTGTTTGTTGTTGTTGTTTATGTCGTTATTATTATTGTTGTTGTTGTTGCGAAGTGTCGCAACAAGCCCGCGCGCTCTCCATCGCTGCGCGATGCGCGAATGGGAATGCAGACGTCCCTGCTGCTGCTGCTGCTCCTCCTCATCCCGACAAGACTGTCCCCGTGCGGATGACACACGGAGGCTCACACGATAGGAGAGAGGTTCGCGATAATAATTAGTTGGTTTCAGCGCCTGCGCACGTATTGCTTCGTGTTTCTGTGTGGGGGGGGGGGCGAGGTTTCCCTTCACATTCTTCAACTTCACTTCTTGCACCCGCGCTTCTTGAAGAGGAAAACAAAAAGCACGCACGACGAACGGGTAAGCCAACAAAAAATCTCACTCCGTCTCTCTCTCTCTCGAACATGCATGTTTCACCCTCGGTAACAACAATCAGTCGTTTCGTCTCTGACAACTTGCAAATCGTTTGCGCCTTAACAGCAAAATCTCTCGCGTTGTGCAGCACGCACAGCGGTGGGTTTTTTTTTTATTCCGCTTGTCTGAAGACTCTGACGTTTATTTTCTTTTAAATCTCAACCCCTCACGAGTCTCTTGCCTGATGGCAGGTCGCTCCCGCTCTTCTGCTGCGCGCGTTGCAAGGAGCAGCTTTTCCCCCTGTCACCATCCTGCGTTCACGTGTAAAGAAGCACAAAAGACCCTCCCGTATCTCATCTCTCTGTTGGTTAAAGACCGATAGCCTCTCTCTCCTGCTGGCAAGTTGCCTGCTCGTGTAAACGGCCTCTCAAAACAGCATTTGAGTACAGCCGTCAAATGCGACTTTCTTTGCCTGAGCCTCAATACGCGCATGCCAATAAAAAAAAATCATTTTCCTTTACAAATTTTCTGTCGCTCGCAAATTAACTTCAATATTTTTCTTCTTTGGTTCTTTCGGTAAAGTCACGTAGAATGAGAATAAAATAATGAATTGATAAGATAAAATAAAATAACACAATAATATGCTCACGACGTTTCGGCCACAACACAAGCGGGCCTTCATCGGGTGAAGGGACGAGACTGTCTGGTAGGACAGCGCTGACTTTACCGAAAGAACCAAAGAAGATGAATCCTTGCAGTCACGAAAGCTTTAAATCGAAATTTAACTTCAATATTGTGAACCTCCGTGTAGACTGGAGGAGACATTGCACAGCGAAGCGCTTTGGCGTCGTTTCCATGGCCGAATGAAAGGGGGGGGTGGTGGTAAATTATTGACTTGAAACTTTCGTGACTTGCAGGAATTCATATTCGCCTTCTTGTGTTTCGATCGAAACGTCGTGATATTGTTAATCGCTTTATTTTTTTAATCTATGTGACTTTACCGAAAGAACCATAGAATACGTCAAGTGGGGGCGGGGGGGGGGTGTTCGATTCATTCGGTGATCTCGTTTGGCCGGGGGGGGGCACCTCGCTCGCCTCACGCCGGCCACAGACGCGGAGCGGTGCCCCCCGGCAGCCCAGCGGGACCACCAGAGGGTTGTAGGGGCGGGGGTTGTCACGTATCGGTGTTGTTGTTGTTACGTATCGGTGTTGTTGTTGTTACGTATCGGTGTTGTTGTTACGTATCGGTGTTGTTGTTACGTATCGGTTTTGTTGTTACGTATCGGTTTTGTTGTTGTTACGTATCGGTGTTGTTGTTGTTGTTGTCACGTATCGGTGTTGTTGTTGTTGTTGTTACGTATCGGTGTTGTTGTTGTCACGTATCGGTGTTGTTGTTGTTACGTATCAGTGTTGTTGTTACGTATCGGTTTTGTTGTTACGTATCGGTTTTGTTGTTGTTACGTATCGGTTTTGTTGTTGTCACGTATCGGTGTTGTTGTTGTCACGTATCGGTGTTGTTGTTACGTACTGCCATATAATGTTCAATTAGGCAGGCGTGGCTAATTATACGTGAAGGCGAGCGTGTTTTTATCGTTGTTGTTGTTGTCGCTGCGAGTGCCGGCGTCGCGTGTACGCATGTACGTACGTTGACCATCTTGCGCACCGTACGTAGTCAGCCGAGCACGATGGGAGGGGAGGGTCGTGAGGCTGCCGATATGCAAGGCAGCAAGAACGACGGGCCAGGTGCCGTGGTTTGCACTCCTGTGATCCGACGCGATGTGGGAAACGGATGGTGTATCGCGTCGAGATTTGTAAATATCCCAAACCTCCTGGGCTGCAAGGTGACCAGGATGGAGCACGAGATAGAGCATGAGGATGCTTGAGGGTTGGGACCCTTGTATGCGGGGTTGTATGTATGTTGAACTTCTTTTGCACCGTACCTAGCCAACCGTGCTAATCGGGGGTTGTCTCTTCGTACCACGTTTTGCTGCTGCGTGTGAAATAATAATTTAAAAACGGTATTGGCAAAAAATAGGTCATTTAAAAAAAAGAGTGTTGAAGGCTTGTCTGAACAATAAATTACATTTTTAGAATTCAGATTCAAGTAGTGTCTCATAAAATAGCATGTCATGTTTCTGTACAAGAATGGGAGGTACAGCAGATTGGGGGGAGAGAGAGATCAGGGAGAGATTGGTGGGTAGATGAGTGGTCGTGGTTAGATGAATATGCCACGTGCATTGCAGTCAGTATCGTAAAATATAAAAAAGGATAGAACTATATGCACATTTTGGAAATGTTAATGGTTAAGAGAAGAGCTACCATCATGCAATACAAAGATAATTAGGCTCAGGGTATAGCGAAGGTCATCATCAGCACGGAAGAACATTCTTAAGCCTGGATTTTAAGTAGGACAGGGGGTCGGCGGTACAAACGTTAATGGGGAAGTAGTTCCGGATAGCAAAGGCAGCAGAAGAGAAGGAGTGAGACCTCTAACTGATCAGCAGTTCATTGTGGGTATTGAGAACAAACCCTGATTGTTGGTGTAGAAAGGATAGGGGAGGTGGTGTGGGGGGGGGAGTCATGGGAGAAGGGAAAGAAAGGGAGGGCAAGCCCAAGTAAAAAAACCAGTGATGACGAAAGTATAATTGATCCATAATTCGACTGGGAGCCAGCGGAAGGATCTCACAATTATAGCTCCAACCGAGAAACCTGGCAGCAGCACTGTGGGTCACGTGGAATTCGGAGGCGAGGGATTTAACAACGTCACAGAGGAGCAGTCGGGGCAAGAAGCGATGAAGACTTGAAGGGTCTCAGTAGAGCAGGGGGTAAGGTGAGTAGTGGATGTGAGAGACAGAGCAGGTGGAGGTAGGAGGTCTTTCAGAGCCACAATTCATTGTCTGATTGGAGTTGGCTCACACTGTGCCGCTACTCCTGCTGCTAAAATAATCCCTTATCCCTTGTGAAGAATTGTGAATAGCATAACATAGATTGCGCGCGCAGCACGACTCTTGTCTAATCATATTCCGCTTCGTGCAATTGTTAAACTGCGAGGTCTCTCCATCGCTATGGGTGTTTGGAGAAGCATTTAGCCGACCAACCACAAAACAATGCTAGGAATCATGACGATGACAATGATGATGATGATGACGATTCATTACATTTGCGCGTTGAGATTGATAAGGGGGGGGGGGGAATAAATAACAATCTCGCAAATACCAGCTGCACTTAATAAATATATAGCGGTAAACACGCAAGAGATAGCAATTCTAATAATGCGCCGTCTTAACAAGGGCTGCCACACGTCGGATTTTAAAATGCAACCGGGTGCTCAGAGCGCTGCCCGTGGGCTGTGACAGACAGGCGCTGAATGGAGTTGGAGCCAAATTAAATTCCCTCTTGTCCACGGATGGGGCAGGGTCTTTCATTTACCCTCTCCGATTTGGGAGAAGGTGCCGCTATGGAAGGGAAGTACCCCCCCCCCCCCCATTTGTTTTTTTCCTGGAGCTGATAGCAGCAGACACATTTTTACCATTTGCTCATTAAAACGGACAGTTGCCCTCCGCCTTTGCGATGCACTCATTGGCCAGGCGGGGAGGGCAAGCTGTCTGTCATCTTGGCTCTGGATGGATGGAGGCTGCCGTGTTCACGCGGTCACATAGCCACACCTGAAGCTGGCGCCGAACAACAACAAAAAAGCCCGGAGCGAACGACTTTTACTTAATCAGCGCTGTTGGCTGCTTCGTGTTAAATTCGCCCACCTACACACAGCCCTGAGCCTGCAAACCACAGTCAATGTTGCTCCCACCCGTCCAATCTCGTACCTGATTACGCTCCCTCCTTACCCCCGATTTATATGTAAATAACACCGCTATCAGCACGAGGTAGATTTTCAAGAGCATGCTGCTCGTGTCTCCATTCAATTCCTAAAGAAGCTCCCCGGACGTGTAAGGAAGCATCGGATATGTTGACGAAAAGCAGGCGGAACAGCCCACAAACACGTCGGAGAGCTACACTGCCGTCTCTTTCAAATTTCAATTCGATCGCACACGATAGAAAGTCGGTTCTTCTTCTCTGCTGCTCCTTAGTCTGTAAGTGTCGGTACGCATTGCAGGTAGAGGGGAGTGACGGCCTGACGGTTAGCTCGCTCCATTGTATTCCAGCTATCCAGGTTCGACACCTGGTCTAGATGCTGCACAATCCAAGTGGAAAGTGGTTTCTGAACTCATCACGAGCCTCCACTATACGGCGACTCAGCCTCATGCGAGTGCACGGTACCGTGTGCGAAAATCAACACTTGGGAGACAAAGGGTGGCTGGGTGTAATTTCTTACCACCACCCACACACGTGCTGGTCCGCTTTAACAGGTGGTCCCCTAACACGCGTGCCATTGCAGTATGTAAGACTTTGATCAATGACTGTTTTGTTTACGAGAGTATAGAGGGCTGTTACAATATATACGGCCAAACAAAAAGGTATTTGAGCATTATCTTTATACTTGTGACTCACTTGCCCTGCTTGACCTATCACGTGCACTGACATTACCTCCGAATGATTTTTGTTAAGCTCAGCTAAGTGGCCCACTGTTTCCCTTTGAGATACAGATGTCCTCCTATGCTTGTGTTAGCATTCAACTCACCAATGACCACACCGCGTGGAATACTGCAATTCTCCCCATCTTGTCAGATCTAAGAACGCTAAGCAGGTTTGAGCCGAGTGAGTGCTTGGATGGATGAACGCCGCGCATAACAGGTATCATAGGCTGGGGTCTAAGCAGTGAGACAGCTTCTATGCTCTCACGTCCGCATGCTCCCGTCTTGGCCAACGCTCCCTGAGCGGCGTGGTTAAGTATGGTCGAACAAAAGCCCCCGTGACCCGCACGGTGTGGGGAGGCCCCTCACTCGGCAGTGGCTTGACAAGAGGACGATGCGACGTGGGGCCCCAATCATCGCCAACTCGTCCTCTGGCGCCGCTTCGCCTGCCGTGCGCGCGCAGAGCCTAGAAGAAGC